TTCATATGGACCTGTCGTCAGACAGAACACTAAATAAATAAATAAAATAAAATAGATAAAAGGGAGTTAGGGAAACATCTATACTAAACCGTCTGCAGTGACATGACATGAGTTGGTCTTGAGAGCAGACATTTTATAATCAGTGGCTCAACTGGACGAAAGCTGAGACAATTTTTCTTGGCAATTGCTACTCAAAATGGGTAAACATCGTTGTTACTTTATTCCTCGTTGACGAAAATAAATTTATTATATATTATTGTCCTTCGGAACCATACGAATACAAGTCTCTTATTCACATAATTAGTAAAAATTGTTTGTGGCAAAGATTCAGACGCGACACGAGACACAGTACAGGTCAGAAAACGATGTAAGAAAACTACGGGTGAAGTGAATGTAGCTAATGAGTTGAGTTGACACAATGAAATTGACCATGGAAGTATATGGCTCTGCTAATTAATGGACTCTGGTGAACAAACATAAATGCTAACAGAAAATCGCGAAAAACCTACGACAAACAAATTGAGGAAGTGAAATTAATTTATTCAAGGCTTATTCAATAATTAAAATTACGTCACGTCACGTCCTTGAGAGTTCAACAAATGCGAACAGTGGACCTTAACATTCTCCTTAAGGACGGTTTCGAAATACGTAAGAATTAAGAAGAAATATATTTCCTAAAATGTCGACTGTGTCTTGTATTACTGAATTATGTTTTTGCCTGTTTGGATCTCAGGCAGATGAACACGTCCATCGTTAAAATGCATTATTTTCTTTGATGTTTTCAGTCACTTTTAAAAGTAATTTCGCATAACGCTCCAGAAGGCTTGGTAAAAGTGTTGAATGTTAACGGATTCAAACGGAAATAAACCGTTCGTAACACGGAAGATACATTGCAATACGTTTCATAAGATTTAAAAGTTTATGGAGACTGATAAACTGTTAAATTGACATTAGGTTAATTTTCGGATAATTAAAATATACAAATCGGCATGATTAATGTTTATTAAACACACATTTGAGGAGCCAAAGCTTCTAATCTTATTAATTTTAGGGTTAACAAGAAAATAATTAGTTTTAGTAAAAGTCGGTACAAATAATGAGGCGGTGATCACCGAACCATGCCGCTGTTTGTACCAACATGTCGGCCCCATGAACTTGTGAGATGAGAATGTTGGTACTGTTGAACTAAGGGTTGTAAAATTTTATATAAATAAGATAGGCGAGGCATTTAGCACGTATGAAAGAGATTATAAATCCGTATAAATTTCTGGTTGGGAATTCTGAAAGGAAGAGATCACTCGGAAGATACAGGCGCAGATGGGGGAATAATATTAAAATGAATCTTTAAAAATGTGTATGGTAATGTTGATTGGATTGATGTTGCTCAAAATAGTGACAAAATCGCTGGTTCTTGTAAACACGGTAATGAACTTTCGTATTTTATAACAGGCGAGGTATTTCTTGACTAGCTGAGTGGTTATCAGCTTCTGTGAAGAGACCCTGTTCCAAATGAATAAGTTACGTTTACTAGTTATTTATATTAATTTATTTAATTTTTGTTTAATTTAACGATTATGTAGCATCGCGCAGCGAAAGTTATTTAAAAAATAAGCAACTGTAGGCCTTTTATACACTCAGAGAAATTTAAAATCACATCATCAACGCAACCGAGCAAAATATTTTAATGTCACGTCGCTACGCAATGAATTATTGAAACATGACAAGCGAAATCTGGGATTCTCTACAAGGCCTAACTAATCCTTCTTAATCACAAAAAAAAAAAAAAAAAAAAAAAAAAAAAAAAAAAAAAAAAAAAAAAAAAAAAAAAAAAAAAAAAAAAAAAAAAAAAAAAAAAAAAAAAAAAAAAAAAAAAAAAAAAAAAAAAAAAAAAAAAAAAAAAGCATCAGAAAGTTTTTTTCATGATTTGTTTAAGTTATTAACGCTAATAAGTGTCGTATTTATAAAATACTACTGTAGCCATGAATTAAAGCTAATTTATTCCTACCAGATTTCAGAGGACTCAGCTCGAATATTTTATCTAGAGGCCATTTCAAACTCAGGTCTAAAATGTCAAGGCTTGTGTTTCGCTATAGGAATATAGCGACTTGAGTAAATACATTTTCGCCATTCGAATAGTAAGCCGTATTGCACAAAAGAACTATGTAATGTAATTTACAATTACAAAGTACTGACCTTGAAATTCCTTACGATGGTTAAAATAATTACCTGACGACAAATTATAGGAGCCGAAATACATATAAGCTTTCTGATGGTATTTCCTAATAATGTTTACGTAATATCAAAAATAATTATAGGCCGGACAGAATTTGTAAAAGGTTTCGTAGTGATTACCTAGAGTTAAGCTATCCAGAAGAATTTTCTGTGACTTTCTTTAATCGTCAGGAAAAATCATGCGATATCCTCGTTTGCACCACCACCGAGTTTAGCCCACAAACATGTATTCATAACTCAAAATTACTGATCTCCTTTTGGGACAAGAATTGAACCCCACCCACCCACGAAATTCTGAGAAGTAGCGATAAGATTACTGTGGTGTTGATATTACAAAATTTTATTACAATTTCTCAGGCAAGATTTTTTTTTCAACGCCGGAAAAGTTATCGCTTCAAAACTAACGAGAAACATTCAGTTATTAAAATAAACCCTCTTAGTTTTGGTACACTACATCTTCATTTGTAACATCTGTTAATATAAACAAACGCTTTTCTGTTCATCCAAATATCTTTATTATATTCAATCCTTAAGCCGTATGTAATGATTGACTTTAATAAAAATGTCTTTATGTCAGTCATTAAATGAGTGTATACGTATTTTTTGGCTGAACTTTATAATTCGCAAACCAACTACATCACTATTAGCGAATTTAGCCTAATAAATCCGAGAAATTGTTTAATATACAAAAGGATTATTTTAAAAATAAGTCAGTATTTATAATGTAATAAATGTGAAGCTTAAAACTTTCTTTCGTCATATTAATAAAATGTCTACTTAAGTTTTGCAACAGGCTTGGCAATATTTATTTTATATAAATATGAAATTTATTTAAATTATAAAATTATTTTAAAATGGTGTGCCCTTAGGGAAAATCGATATAACATACACACGTTTGGCTTCTGATGTTGATTGAAGGGTGTTTCCATGAAATAACTACTGGAATATCAGGCGAGGTAAAGGCGTCTGAATAATTATTTGCTCCGGGCTTCAGGTACGTTAAAGTAACCCTTTTCATATTTAGAGCTCTAATCTTCCTTGCATGGAATCAGTGTTATATATATATGAATTTGCACCACGTGTTTAAAGCTTCAGTAATTAAACAACGTGAAATAATTAAAGGATTTAGTTTCGGGTTAAAGGCTAACCAACATCAAGTTGAGGCACGTGTGTTCAGTTACTTAAAATAATGAGAAAATTAATCGAGGGGGTTTGCACCCTGCTTTATGCTCTGGAGGCCTCGAATTCGAATCTCTCAGCCCTGACAATGAAAATTCTAGCTCAAAATTTTAATATATTTCCTCGTTTACTCCATTTAATTCCGGGAGGTTTAACAACCTCATCATTTTTAATCCGTTATTCAAAAATTAATCCTAACAGTTGACGCTCTATAATATTAGCTACTGACAGTGTTGTTAAATGAGCAATTAATATATTAAGTAATAAAAAATGAATTTATTAAATTACAAGCATTATTCGATTGCTTTTATCCAAGTACCAAGATTAAATTAACTGAGAAGATATGAGTTTTATGGTTACGTTAATAGAGAATTTTATTAATAAAATATCCCTCCTTATTCTACAAAATATAATATAATTAGACAGAAGATCAGTAGCTTAGGGTTTCTGTACGACATCAGTACTGAGTTTAGACTAACTAAATTTCACTATCATGTGTTTCTTTGTCACGAATTTTGTTAATTGAATTGGGATTACGCTGCACAATGTTTTATGGGTTACAGTTACAAGCTACAAGTTAAATATTCCAAGCTTGCCTTCTGCAGTGCCTCGATATTGGTCTTCTGCGCAGAAATCCCGTGTACTCTCGCATTTCCTAGACGTAAAATCCCAGTGGTACCAACCTACGCTTCATTGGAACGTAAACAAACAGTGAGTACCATTTACCGGTTAATTCCTTAGGGAAATCCGCGGAAAATATACGATTTGAAGAATAAATGTTTACATTTAGTGATATAATATATTTTATAGATTGGATGTACCGACGGGAAGGAAACTTTGCAGCTTAAGAGAATTTTAATTTCAACGTTTCATCCCAAATTGAGAAAGCTATTAAATCTAAAATTTATAGTTCATACGCTGTTCATTGAATTAAGTTCCAACACGTTCAGTTGTCTGTAAGCTGTTGAATCTCAGTAAAACTCTGGCGGCTTTATGAAACGTCTTAATGATCTTTCATTATATTACTTTTTCATATACAATGGAGCCATTTTAGAGGGAAATTTATACGGTAAGATTCGTTCAAAATCACATTTCTTACGAAGTTGAAAAATCAACCTCCAACTTTGGAAAGTAAGCTTTTCGTGAAGTGAAATGTATCCCTCTAAGGCAGACTTTTCCTTGGAAATCAATATAATTTTTTCTTGGCAACTGTATTTTAATCAGATCGGCTTCAATCGAACACATGCCAGTGTCTCTTCATGACTTATCTCTACTTAATTCACAAAATTAATTAATAACAAGCAGCTCATATAATTTCGTCTGTCTACTTCATTTCCAAAACAACTAATGAAATGTTAACTTTCGTGTTTATCGTGCACTAACAAATAATAACTAGGATTAAACATCACGAAAAAGAGTTTAAAAATTGTATTCGTCTCTATTTTGGAACCCAAAAGTGAGAGTACACATGCACTGGCACGGTTACACACCCAACTCTCACTTTCCAGCTCGGCAGAAACTGCACAACTCACAGCCAAGCACTACAATAAGACAAACGTCTGTTCACAATAATAATAAAAGTAACTTACCTTTTTATTTACGAGATGCTGAAAATGACGTTCCTGTACCATTAAAATACTTCGTTCAACAATGTATCGAACCACATCCGCACACACAACAATAACCAGTACTTGATACGACGTCCGATAACAGCTGTGCTGTTGTGTAAATGCTTTTAGCGTTCGGCGATTGGTCAATGCAGCTTCTTTCGGGAGCTTGTATTTTCCGAACCGACTCATCCTACAAATATGTACGACACGTAAGTGATATAGAATACAGATATGATGAAGGTCTATAATTAATAATTGATGGGGTAATGAAACACAAATAAATACTTCATTGCTGACTATCATACGTTACTGGAAATTGGCGAGGGCATGAACTAATGTGACTCGCCACGACATCTGTTGGGAAGTTATTAAATAATGGGCACGCGAACATTTTCTGACACGTTTACCTCCTTGGGTATTCTATAACCCGGATAGAAACATCGACAACTCGAATCTATGTGAGCTTCGGTCCTGTATTAGCAGATGTATGAACTAATTTAAAGATAAGTGAACTGCCACGCCATATATTGGCGAGGTCACGAACTATTGTAAAGATAAGTGAATTGCCACGTCATCTGTTGGGAAGATTTTAAGTAATGGGCCCGCGAACATTTTCTAACCCATTTCCCTCCTTGGGTATTCTATAACCCGGATAGAAACCTCGAAAACTCCTCGGTTTACGAACATTCGCTATGACGAACGTCACAATTCATTCAAAAATTTTTCTTAAATTCGCCAATAGATATAGTTCCTTATAAAACGAAATGTCAAACAATAGTGAACATAATTCTAAGATTTAAAGAATTAAACTTTTAAAAAATGTATTTATTACAATAATTATACTGAACTGTTCTTGGATACTAAAACTAATCTAGCCTTTATAGCACAGTGGTTATGCAGAGATATTAAATTTATATTGGCTTTATCGTATCCTGTATAAAACAACGTAGGATAACTGCAATACTGCATACATGGTTACAGCACAAATTTCAAATACATTTCCACTACAAATGGCATGTTTCGTGATTAAAACGGCCCATGAAAACAGGAAGATACTGATAAAAGCAATCAGCATACTTTCCCTAAAAAATGTAATTATTTCCATTCATAATTTATGCTGTCAAAACTGAGATAAAAATTTGTTTGTACTACATCTGTGTGTGAGATTTTATACTAAATTTCAAAGTTCATGTGCCTAGCCAATAATAGTGCTTCACATACTAGCAGCAAACTGAAAGGCATATAATCAGCATGTTATTTCATTAATAACATCCGAAAGACTTTTAATGATAAAAATACAGAATTTCAGGACTTTAAAGCTTCCATTCTCATTCGTCTGATTCAATAACATTTAAAAAATTTCCTAACCAAAAATTTACCGTTTTCTAACCTTAAATATGATGTAACTAACAGTGACATCTGTAGCATTTTAAAGAACTTAACCAATTTCTTTGTCATAAATTAAGGGTAATTTACTTTTGAGCTTGGAGCAAACCATCATTAATTTTTGATAGTAGTTACAACTTCCAGATGATGTCAAATCATAATCCTCACTTTCTAAGGCACGAACTTGCCTCATACGTGACTTGTTCCATTCCCCACGCCTTTCAATGTCTTCTTTTTCCGCCGTCTGAAAATTTTTTATATGTGACTCCCAATTCCTTGGAAAGATACCACAACAAATTTTATGCACATTAAGATAAAGTTTCCTTCACTGGAAATATTTACGTCGTCTTTGTCGATAATACACAATTTGGAAGCATAACATTCAGAGTATTGACCCCCAATGGACCAATCCTATACCAGTTAATTTCAATTCACATTACAAAAACCTATTTCCAGTCCTACGAGGAACTTCAAATATGTTTCGGCTTATGTGACGAAACTAGCAAGAAGCACAACTTAACATTTACACAATTTAGAAATCCGTTCCGCGAATAATTTACACTAACACAGATTTTGACGACATTAAATGCACAAGATATAACTTCAAAGTTCCATGCCATCGCCATGTTTGTAATTATTAATATATTAAAAAGAGTTTCACAGACATTTTTTAGGTATATTCATAATTTATCTCCATACTAAATTTCACAAGCCTGGATCCAATGGTTCTTTAGTTAGTGCCATAAAACAGCATATTAAATATATAATTTTTAGAAACAGACACCACTGTTATATATATGAAATGAGATTCTTATTATTCTTAATGTACTCAAGACTCATATTTTTGTGACAGACAATGGAAACACATAAATTGTTGGAGGATTCAAGAAAAAACAATTTTGAATAAAATTAGTATTTTCAGATTTAATACAATTTTGTCCACTCCGCTCCCAGATCCTGGATGTCACATGAACGCGGCCCACAAAATCATGACAAATTAAAACTAATCTAAAGCCACACTATAGAAAATTCGGGGATTAGAAACACTCAGACATTTGTAACTAACACAACCATAACCTCAGATTTTATAAACAGCATCATCTTTTGGCTCTTCAGACAGTTTACTGAAGTCATTAAATTTCACAACCTTACTGAAGCACCAAAAACTGTTTTCCCCCTTTTTCAGACAAGTTTGTAACACAACTAATGGCTGGAAAATGTTAAAGTTATGAACACTGTTTGTAGTAGAATAACATGAGTGACTGCAAATGGCCATGTGGTTGCATAATGGGGTTGAACAGCATGATATACATACAACTGCCCTGTTTCTCAAGTTCTATGGAAGAATTAATTCTGCACCTTTTATCTGCTGCAACAGATAGTAGCTCTTGGCCTGGATGCCGTTCTTGTATATCTGTCATGATGAGAGGAAGCAGATATCCTTCTCAGTTGAAATTACTATTCCATGTAACACAATTACAGGATCCACAGTCACTGCTTCAAAACTTGGAATAGCTTCATGAATATTAAAAATATTCACTGAAAAACAGGCAAATTGGATTAAAGTACATGCACAGAAAAACCATAATAAGAAGCCTATGTTACACATTATTTGTAACATCAGAGTTGGATGAAATTCAAACATGTCACTAACTGTTAATAACCTATCGAAATAATTACCAAATTTCAACTTTCATTACTCCCAACGCTTATGATGCAATTTACATATATTCTTTTACGCTAAACACAATCTACATTTCTATATATAACAAATACATCTATAACATTTCACTTACGATAATTCAAGTTGCGTCTAGCACAACATAAGGTTATAACGTCTGGACCTCATACATTTAGCTGAGTTAAAACTTAACCAAACCTAACCTCAAAATGGATGATTTCTAGTGTACAACTGTACATTACAGATCAAATTAAAATCTATTATAATATTATATTATTATAAAAGCAAAATATTTTTAGACTCTGAACACTGCAATAGACATTATTTGTGGGTGGTACTTCTTTAACTAAAAATGTAATGCAGTCTTACTTGGTTCCGGATTATATTCACATTATTGTTTACTATGATAGAAATTTCGTAAAATTGTTTGAATTGTAAAACGCCAAATTATTTTATCGGGTGTTTGGGTGATTATTGCAATAACACCCGTAATCCCTGTACTCCGCACACATGGTCACACAGCGAAACCAAACACTAACCTAAAATTACAAACGTTTGCTTGGCGCGTTTCTGCATCAGCAGTGAACGAAAGTGGAGAATCATCATAGCTGTTATCATTACCGTGTAATTTGGTACTGTTTTTTTTAAAAATTCTGAATCGAGGCATAACAGATACACGAACGAAATCAATCACGATTTTTTTTGTGGGGAAAAAAAGAAAGGAAACACTCAACCCCCACAAAGTGTTTTATACCAGATCCATAATAGATGCAAGAAATATTCCCCACCTCTACATCTCTTTGCTTATATCAACTCCCTAAAGGATTTATTGGACATTAACACTTATTCTCGACTCTACAAATTTAATTCCACTTTACTTTTTTATTCCTGTACCATTTTTACTGTGTGTGAAATATTTCACACATCATAATGTAGCTGCTTGGGGTCCTCTGCTTAACTCTGATTTTTGAGTAATTGACAACCCAGTCTAAGAACATAACATTTAAACTTAAGTCAAAGTAGCATGCATTGGAAGTCCAGTTCAAATGGTGTCTTTTGAGTTTACTTTTGTGGGACTTGAACAAAAGCCTGAGCTACAGTACCTGGTTCTGCACTATTCTCATATTATCACACTAACAGACCATCCAGTACTGCTATTCTGCACATTAAAATTCATCTCATGGCCATCTGGTTGGTTGAAACTGAAAACATTCAAGTTGTCATATGAATTCAATATTATTCATTACATTTTACACTTATAAAACATGTTGTCTTTAATAAATTTGTACCTACTGTGACAATAAGACGCCAACACGAGACAAGTAAAAGAAATGGGAAATTTTCTTTTTCTTCCACTCTCACAGAAATAACAACACATTTCTAACAAGACACAATGGATATGTATTAACAAACAGGGCCACAATAAACCTTCAGTGTGGCCAGGAGTTACAATTGCAAACATAATTCTTTGTCTGGCTCAAAGTAAAACAGTGAAGTATATAGTATATAAAGTATATAGCAACAATAAGGAGCATCAATGAAAGAGAACAGATACAAATGAACACGAATTACAATCGTAAAACAAAAGAACAGAGCCAGGGAATTGGTCGAGTGGTTTGACTAAATCAATGCCTTTCCAGAGGTGGGCTAAACATTAAGTTGAAAGCGAGTTTAATGTACAACAACCAAGTATAATATAGAATACACAAATCAATTTCCTGGTATACAAATCCAACCAAACGTCAGCCCTTTGCTGATCTGATACAGTCACTCGAACAAGCCACGACTCAGCTCACCATTTACAACAATACTCATCCCACTTGTTCTTGACCTTGGCACTAGATGGGGTGAGAGGTCAGCATTACCCGGGGGAAGGGAAACGAATTACCAGTCTCCCATGCATTATGTTGATGAAATTTTTATTTATTCAGCTGATTTATGGGTAATATATAATTTGGTATGGATTAGGAACAACAACAATACATGTATTATATCTCAAAATTGGTCTGAGTTTGAACTTCATATATTCAAGCCAAAAAAGTGTTCCCTTGTTGTTATATAACAATCTCGCCATATCTCACACACATAAACTACAAAAACCTCAACACTTCATAGAAATTAAAATTCTCACATAGCAAACTATCTGAAAATGCAGCGCACATTACCAATTTCATAATCACGCAAATTTCTTTAAATAGACAACAGCTATCAAATACCGCATTTATGAAAATGGGATTTTTCTTTTATTTATAACAACTTCGCTAAATTCAAATTGAATATACATGATACAATATACATTATGTACAAGACAATGCAAAGAGATCGGAATAAAATCTTGGAGTCATTTCTCTCGTTAAAGCCAGACACACGCATGCACAGACGTGTATACGTGCGCGCCTTCTCACAAACACTCTCACTCTCTCTTGCTTCATGGTACATTATTTCTGCATTTTTTAGTGAGTAAGAACGCCATTCCGTGTGTGCGGAAGTGCTTGCTGAGCTGAACCGAAGACTCAAAAATTTTTCGACAGACACGGCACTGGTTTTCAACAAGGTCAGGAGGAGGAGAATCTTCTAGCGGATGTGAACTTACGTTATGCTCAGATATATCATCCATTTCTTCATCTTTTGCCGAAGTATCACGACAATCGTTGTTCTGTAAATAAGCTTCGGCATCCTTTATACGGTGACTGATAAACAGATGTTTTTCAAACGACGGCCTTACAACGAAGCACATGCCGCATTCCATGCACTGAAATGCATTTTTGTCAGCGTGGTGCGATTTGATATGTTCACGAAAAGACTCGACGCAAGAATCCGCGTACCGACATTTGGAACATTCGTATTTGTGGCCGGATGCAAAGACCTGCTGATTAGCCGGAACAATTTGACCGCTACTGAAGGGAGTAACAGCCCCTGCCTTATCTGACGCTTTCTGCGAAGATTTCTTCTTTCTTTTAATTTTTGAAGGAACCAAATCATAATCTATAGGTATATCACGTTCCTTCTTCAAGAAATATGCGCTTTCACTAAATCCTCCATTTTCTTGACTGCTGCCTTTTTCATTATCCGTACCGTCAAATTCCTTCTTACGACAATTTTCATTACGTTCACAGTCTTCGTTAAGAAGATCACGAACGTAAACTTCATTTAATTCGTTTTTGGCTGTATTTGTTTCTGTTACGCCTTTCTTCACGCACATGATTTTGGGGTAGATACGATGATCTTTAATTACAAATGGCACCCTTACACTTGTAGAGTTCATCTTTAATTTACTGACCTTGGGTGACAGAACCAAAAGTTTGAAATTTGGATGATTAGACGCGAAATGTTCCTGTACCTTAAACCAGTCCATAGATATCAGCATCTTACACAGATGGCAGCGATATTTGTTATTTTCCAAAGAAACACCAGGTGACGTCTTTAACTTTTTAACATTCGTCGGACCATTCAGCGCGATACTGTTGGAAGTTCTCTTCAAATCTGAATTCTTGTTAGCGGAAACAATTTTTTTTCCATCTTCAAGTTTTGTAGTCGATTCAAGTGTCCCATTGATATTATTTTCAGAATTAACTATCTTACTCGTCGGAAGAAGTAGAAGTTTTCCGTCTTTTTTCAAAAGTGCATGTTCTTTAGCACAATTTTCACAATACGCTGGAAACCTGGCAGCACCCGGCGAGGAGACGATCAGTTCCTTCCTGCAACTCGAACACAGACGCAAGATATTCATAGAATTAACGGTGAACGAAGTGTTATCCGGTCTGGTACCGTCCGTGTCATCCGAGCTCGCTGGGACGTTTTCGACAACTCTGGAATCTGAGGCCATGGCGCAGAGTGCGGCTTCTGCCTCTTCCGCGTTGGCCTCACACTTCCTTTCGCTCACGTACACATATTTACCTTGCCCTTGGTCACTCACGTCTTTCCGCGTTCCTTCGCTTCCTACGGGCGTACTTTTGTTTAACGCAGTCACAGACTTCGTCTTATCTTGCGGTGTTCCATCAGTTTTGGGTAAAAGTTTCCTAAACTTTGATTGGGGGAGCATTATTCTCTTCACAGTTTTCACGGATGATTTCGGAAGAACCGCTAACTGCATCTTGTTTTGAGAAACGGTATAAATTACTTTAACAACGTTGTTGCCCTGTTTACATTCCGGAGGGATTAAAACCTTGTGCGCGGCCAGAACCGTTTCAGGATTCAACGCTGGGGGAACTATTCCAACCTTCGCTTTCTGACTCCGTGAACAAGTCGCCCAATGCACTGCAAAGTCAGTTTTCTTCTGTGCAAAGAAACTGCATTTACTACACTGATGAACGTAGATTCGAACGGAACGGTCTTTAGAGTGTTTGTTTACGTGAGGTAGGAGCCGAGACTTCGGTATGATCTGGTCGGGGCAAAGTCTGCACAGCTGGTACGAATGCGTTGCAACTGTCTCTAGTCCGTGCGTGCTAACTTTATGGTCCTCTAATGTCTCGACACTGAAGCAGGCAATGGGACACGCGTTGCACTTATACACAGGTCTTACGTGCTGCGTAAGGAGGTGCACCTCCAGGCTAACCGCTGTAGGAAAAAGGCACTTGCACTGCACGCATCTGCAACATTTGTTCAAAATATGTTATAATACGGAGATTTTCTAAAATTATACTCCAGTTTTAATTACATAAAATTAGCTAACTACATAGCGAACACTGCTGTATTTGGCGTCTCTTGAGTTCTGTAATCAGCAGGAGTAATCGGCGTCAGTAAAGAACCGATAACCGGAGTCGTGAAAAATTTTCATTTCTGACGGTCTCGGACACTGATGTTGCATATACTGAAAATGTTTTGTATGACTGCGTCTTTGAAAAGACTATTGGACTTAGAGCCACCGAATACCGTGACGTCTGCTACGTAGATAGGTAATTACATGCGATTAGGACTGTAGCGACTTTTTAGAAAAATCCTGTCATAATGTAATAACACACCACTGTATTATTTTTATCTTGTCAATTTCTTAACAATATATTTAACCATCCACGATACAGTTACTTATATTTTATTTTCATGATATACAAGGTTGTCACGACAGTGAAGATGTCAGTCGTGGTATTCTGCGTGATGATGGCACGTAGTCTTGCAAGTGATTACCAAAGTTTTGGAAAAAAAGTGCGTCATCTTCATCTTCAGGATTAAAGTTTAGTAATGATAAATCAATCCTAAAGATAGATGTGCCATGTTCCTTTGATGCACGATTACATGCCAACATAACGCAGAGGGTGACAGTCAATATATTTGATCTCAGTCTCACCACCATTAAATGCCATAATTTGGTAATTAATACAATTAGTAATTATGTTAATGATAAAATTCTACCGCTGATCAAACTAATCAACATTACTGAGTAAACCACAAATTTTTTTGTATTTCATTAAATATTAAATGCAAAGAACATTAAAGAGAACTATATTTTATCTTTACATACAATAAGCCATGAAATCCACTTAGCAGCCTCGGAGGAAAATCATGTGGACAGATGGATACAGCGCTGCTGTTATGAACGATTTCACGAACATAGCGTAAGTACACATGTTTGTGTCTAAGCACCACCACGGTGAACTACGACGGTAGTATTCTGGATTGTGGCACTGTATGGACTTGCAGGTTGGTAACAGTGTTTTGGAGGAACATACTGCCTCCATCTTGAGGGACTGTCAG